AAGAGGTATTGATTAAGGTGGAGTTAGTGTAAAAGATATTGGAGCATACAAATTATTTTATATTTTCCTATATGCTCACACCTTACCTAAAGCAGGAAATAGTCATACGTTTTCGGAATATTTTGTGGAGTTCAGATAAACCAGGATGATGTTTTAACAAACTATATACACAAGAGCAATATGATAAAAAACAAAACCCACTGCAAACATTCAATCATGTTACTGCACCGGCTTTAAGAAAGACACAAGTGCAACATGGAATAAAACTGACATAATGCGATGATACACTATCATTTGCGCTTGCTAAAACTGGCATCGCCTGTTCATCTGTGGTGCAAATGCACTGGAGGCAGCTTTTCTTTCCGGTCGTCCTTTCAGCTATTTAGATCATATCCTCGAATTGGATAATCCGATTCTTCATGGTTGTCCTGTACCTTTTGTTCAAACAACCCAAAATATCAAAATTTTTCTGGTGTCTTTTGAAAATATTATCTATGAGTACGCGAATTTTGTCACCTATAAGGGTTGTCGGACCACCCATACTTATCTAGATGCAAGAAAGGGTCACATGCGCTCGGGATCATTTGTCAGAAAAACCAGGATACGTAGTCCAGCAAACTGCTTACGCACTCGGAAGCATACCTAAACCACTATGATTAAGCAACCAAAGCCCAACAAAAACAATGGAAACATGTTGAGTTGCTAACTTCAAAAATGCACTTGTCCAACTTTTGCAAACCAAATGATGCACACAGTCGTCTAGGACCAACAATCAATATCATTCACATCAGCAATACACGTTAGCTGTGGGTGAGAAACACACCTCAGCTCTTGTGCCGCACTACAAAAGTGGAGAGTAAAAAACTACACTACAAGTATACAAATTACACTGCAAGCGTATGAGGTTAAATATTAGATTATGCGTGTTGCATGTGACCGGGACTGAAAAAGGAACCTATAGGGCGGGGATGGACCAAGAAAGTCACAAGGCAAACGCCAATGGGGTCGGCGCTTCGCCATATCAGCAAGCGTGTCAAACCAAACATCTTCATCGCCCGTAGAACCCCAGCCAGAAAGTCGGGATGTACCAACCGACGCCAACTTCGAAGTAAGGGTTTTTATTCCTCTCGACCAAATCATCGCTTGGCCTCCCCTTTTCTTCTATCCACAACCTCGACGTGTAAGCAATGCACGTAGCGGAAGTCGGTGGGCTGGCATGTGCAATACTTTTGCCCAGCGTTCGGAGCCTGGTGCGGGACATGGTGGTGCTGTGCGGTTCACTCCCTCTTCCTGCACCAAATACGTGACGAAGAACACGCTCATTGCTCACGCGGTGCTCCCACTAGACATAAGCTTAGCTGCGAAGGCAGCGATGATGGAATATGACGAGCCTCTTTATGTCTGTCGAACTGATGGGCCACGTTATAGGAGAGTTGAACGGACGGCTGCGTTATAAACTCTGCCCTTCAGGGCGAGAGAAATGTCGCATCTGCGTCACAGGTGGCGGAGATTGGCAAAAGCATCTTGAGCTTTCGCTGTGCGGTTCATAAACTCATCTTCGATCCCATGGGTGCTAATATAGCTGCCCAGGTACCGGAATTACTGAACGACTTCTAGCTGATCATCACAAAGCTTTAGCGCAGGGATGAGTCGCTGCCAATCTTGGAGAAATACTTAGCATTTAGATGGAGCTAGTGCTAATCTGTACAGTGTTACTAGGCATGTTTGGGAACTGTCACAGGTTAGGAATTATCGTCCGCTTATTCCAAGTCAAGAAGTCGCACACCAAGAAGTAGCTCCACACTTTCTACGTCGTGTCCAGCGAAAGCTGTTTCCATGACTTCATCAGTAGCGAAGTTGAAGAGGAAAGGTGACAGCGGGAAACATTTCTCACACTGCTGGTGATATGAAAGGTGGCGACAGTTTGCCATAAACCTTCACTCTGCCCGAACTATGTGCGTACAGCGCTTTGATAATATACACATATTTATCAGGCACACCTTTCCTCAGCAGACAGTCTCAAAGGGCGCATCGATCGACTGAACCGTAGGTACATTTTATGTCAATAAACACGAAAACAGTGGGTCGCTAATAAGTATGGTGGTGCCCCAACAATTGGCGCAAGGTTAAGATGTGTTCGATGCAGCCCCGACCGCGACGAAACCCGGTTTGCTCTTCACGGATTTGGGACCAGTGGGGAGTGGTACTGATGGATTTCCTTCCCATATGTGTCAGTATTACCGAAACATACTATGCTTTATTAACACATCAACCTAGGATGCCATCCTTACCAGAGTTGCTCTGCTCCTCCATGACAATGCTCCTGCTCATAACACAAAAGTAGCCTAGACAGAAGCGCCGTTCTGTGGCTATAAAATGCTTCCTAATCATCCATACACTCCAGAAGTTTCACCATCTGAATTGCACCACATTTCAAATAGGAAGTCAGTTCTGGAGAGGAAATCATCTCCTGATAAGGAGATTACGATTTATGAGACCAGGTCATGGCTTTTAGCCAAATTTTGGGAAGTATACAATTGTGGTCTATTCAGCTGCATAGAAAGATAAGAGAAAGGGTCTAACTTTGGGTAGCACTTATGTGGAGAACAGTAATACCTGTGTCTATTTTCGTTTTTTTCGGTGCCTGGGAAATTGGTCAAAGGAAATCATCATTAAACGACCCCCGTACAATGACTGCACACCATGGCTAGTGCCATAAATTTGTAGTTAATGCAAGGTTAACAATTTTCCTTGCTTCACTCTAGTCTATTCTCAAGTAACACCTCGGATACGTTCTTTTGATGAAGTAAAACTATTCGAGGGTAGCATACCGGTGGACACACTATAGTTTCTACCGCTCAATGCGAGAACGCCGTTCGCTCAACTGCGACCACAGATAGCCACTGTGTAGTTAGTTTATATAAATCGATCTACTTATTTTCTCCTAGCATGCTAAAGAGGTGTTCGGACGCATTTCTGTAACCATGACATAGGTGATGTAGTACCAGTAAATGAAACGGAAAAGGCGATGGTCATTAATAAATTTAAAACAGGAAACACCACTTTAAGCTTACACAACTCAGGACGACTAAGAATGTCAAAGATTTTTCTCCCTTTACCTAGAAGAGGGCAGCGGACGTCAGCAGCGTCTACTGGGCGACCTCATAAGGTGCATCAGATCATAAAGCACGCTAACCATATATGACACCGTCTTTTATTACTCAACCAAAACACTTCGGTGCATCCGCAGCTTAGCCGATGTCTAGTGGGTACACTGCATGAGCAATGAGGGCGTTCGACTCCGCGTATGTGATGCAGGAGTAGCGAGTGAACCGCTGAGCACCATTCTACCTATCAATAGGATCCGATGGCTGGGCCACGTGTTGCACACGCCAGCCCACCGACTTTCTTGACGTGCATTGTTTGCGCGCCGGGGGTGCGGTTGGAAGAGGAAAAGAGGAGGCCCAGCGATGACTTGATCGAGAGAAATGGAAACCCTCATTTCGAAGTTGGCGTCAGTTGGTGTTTCGCAAACGCATTGCTGGGGACCGAAGGACGATGAACGCATTCGATTGGATATCCTAGCCGACATGGTGATTAGTTGCTTTCCATGGCGTTTGTGTTTTGAGTCTTTGTCACTCTTCCTACCTTTAGATTCCACCAACAACAACGATCTCAAATGTGATATTAGCATTGCGTTACTTTTCTATACCTCTCAACTCCATATTGCTTATTTTCTTACTTTTTATATTGCGGCACATTAGCTGAATTGTGTTTCTCACAATGAGTTAGTTCGATCTTCAACCACAAAAGAGTTGACATTAATGTGTAGTGTGGCGCAAGGATTCGTTCGCTAAGGTTATTTAACAGAGAACGAACAACTATACTGAATTGACAATTGAGTTATCTCTGCCTTGTTCGGTCAATTAGAATTTTATGAATATTTCTGCTCAAGGGTTAGCACTAACAGCATGATACGAATACAATTGGTATTAGTAGGAGCACAGTACTTCCGACAAATAGAATATCCAGTAACTTTTCACTATGAAATTAATCAACCGACTTAGCTCCACCTCCAGGTCATTCCAAATATCCATGCCCACAGTTAACCTGAACACTGATACGTAGAATTTGTGCACTGTTAATGTCCATCCTTTCATTGATAGTGACAAAAGCACCATGCAGCCGGTAACTTGTACACCGACTTGTATTTCTTTAGAACATATATTTTACTGCAGTACACTCCACTGGTAAATTCATAAACTTACATACAACTAACACAAATAGACCATGACGTAACAGGTAATCCAACAGCTATTAATGTTTCAGAAACATAAGAACACGTCTCCCTTTATGTTAGGCTTCTACTCTTTAGCGACGGTAGCCTGGGCGCAGTACACTACTGCCCACCTTATTAAATTCATTCCACATTCAGTTACTTTGCACCAGGCATCAATGATTTAGTTACCTAGATTTAATCAGTCGACGATCCTCAGTGTGTACAATTCGCTAGCAAGCTCAGATAAAAGTATTACTTCTATTAAAAGACTTCGATGGTTACAGATATCGAGAATAAGAGAATGGCTAAACAAAAGCCCCAGAATGTTGATTGAAGTTTTAAAATGCACACAAGCACGCACAAATGACAAAAGAACTGCCGCCAAGACACGAAAAACAGTGACATGAAAAGTGTTTGTGAAGCGCTGATGCAGATGAGACCGAAAGAGATTGTAAATGTCATAACCAACTGACTTATTCCGTCGCAGTTTTCTTGTGATAAGAAACAGGTCGATTGCTTTGGTAATCCATGTACACCATGCAGTTGTCATTTGCGGAGCTGCCTACCGAAATGATGGGATACAATTTCGTATGGAAAGACTTGTGGACTCCCACATAACACGTCGGAGGCTGCTTGTAAAAGGCACGCAGAGGCACAATGAACAGCCCGTTGCCTTGACATACAATTCTACGACGCCGTACCATGCTCTTCATTATAAACGTCAATACTGTACTCTTTGATAGGTAGTTGGGCCGTCGTGCCGGTAAATCGGCCTCACATTGGGGGTAGATGGCACTTTTCTCTGATGTCCACTGGGCTTCCAACGTGGAGGTCGGATGTCTGTTGGGAACACACTGAAACTAATTGTTGGTGTATTATAAGACCGACGGGAAGCTGATCGTTCTACATGTCTACGCCTCGCATGCAACGACTGAGGACTGTGTGGTGCGTAGTTTATTTGATTCGGTCTGAGGACCCGATTGACAATGGCGAACTTTGGCCGCGTGTTCCTCCTGTTTGGATTGACGTACCATGTACTGCCATCCTGCGGGGAGAACGTGGAAGATATTATTGAATTTTGAAGAGTCTGTACACGAGTCCCTGTTGTAGGTGCTTTTATACTAGTGGCAGTTTGAGATCTAACACTGGAATGACTAACCGGTATCAGATTCGGTTGAACGTTGTTCATTTTGGGTGCCTTGTAGGCATAAGTGAAACGCCATGGGCGTGCATTGGATGTGGAGCGTAACTCTGCATTGTGTTCGGCTTCAACCTCACTATCACCATTGCTACTGTGGTGGACGTAACCATCACTGTTTTCATAGGCCACAGAGCTTGAAGTCCACACTGGGGAAGCTTGTTGTCGATTACTGTAATATCGTCTAATGAATCGACCATCCGAGAAGTATTTAACCCTTCCGGTGCCCCAAGCTGGTGGAAACAAGTAGCGATTACCATACACCGGTTGGTATTGTTGCAGCATATCATTTTTGCTGTAAGTGGATGTGGCAGTTGGCATTCCATTGTCAATTTTTGGCATACCCGGTGGACTATACCCGAACGGGACCATTTGATACTGGGCTTGGAATCCCTTGTCACCGATGGTATCATCACTGACAAACTGAATATACAATTGACCGGATTCAGCGATGAAGGCATTCGGCAGCTGCGATAAAGAACAGCGAAAATCAGAGGAGTATATTAGTTAGTTTTAATTGGACCAAAATGAGCTGTTTATTTTCCTCAAAATCATGGTACGGGATTTGAAGCAAGTCGGTCACCAAATCTACTTCGAGCCGAGGGTGTGCATATTTGGAAAAAATTGCCTGCAGATATAGTCAAAGCAAAGTCGGTGCCGAAATTTACGAAACTGCTGGAATCACAAATTGCCGACTTCTGATTTTGAGAATGCTCATTATCATAAAAGGTAGTTACTTAAAAATATTAGATGCATCCAAAGAGAGGCATCTCTATTCGCTGCGATTTCTAAAGAATCAGTATTCAGCATCATCATTTTCTTCATCACCACCACCACCACCATCATCATCATCATCAACATCATCATCATCCTCAATATCATCGCCATCATCGTCCGCGTCAAGGTCATTTATCAAAGTCAAAGTCACGGTGCTTGGTTTGAACATTAAAGCTCCGATCCTAGGCCAGTTTATGCTTTTCTTTTGTGTCATTTACCGTAATCCATTGTCTTCAATTGTTTAGTTCGGTATTATTTTGATTCTGAATTATCCCGTAATATATTTGAAAACTCTTCAGCAGTAATTCTGTCGTTCTAGTCTGCATTGATTCTCATCCGTACTGGTCGTATTTTGCTCGTATCCTCGTCGGGCCAGTTTATCCCGTTCTCTTCATTGTTAAGGTGGTTTTATGCTATAAATATTGGTGTAATTCAACCCCTTTAGTTACTTGCATTTAGTTCATCATAACTACCTGGACTAGTTGATTATAATTTTTGTGATTCTACATTACACTGGTTTTCTCGTATCGATCGGTGCCTATTTTTGAAATAGCAAAGCAGTTATCTTGTGATATTTGCTCTAAAGTCCTTGGACATCGCGTAATTGCGAGTACATGCAGTTTATGCAGCGTAAAGTATCATATTTCGTGCATTGGTCTGTCTGTGGACCGATTTCGAGTAATTCAGGGGATTCAGCACTATTTTGTGAAGACCATTTTTAAACAATGCCAGTCTAAACTTGGGCAGGATGGAACCGAAAAGCCTGACAAGCGGATCAGTAGAGCGAAGTGCTCTAAAACGCGCAGCTCGATTCGTCCTACACCACAATCTGAGAAACAGCCAGCGCATAGTACAATATCGCATCCATCCCTGAAGCAAAGTACTAGCATATAGGCGGGCTCGCCCTCAAGACCTACAATTGTTGCTGTTGACAGTAAAGCTCTAATTTGCAACATGCAAATTGATGATAACGAATGGTAAATGCAAAAACCAAGGAAACCAAGAACAGTATCTAGCAACCTGAGGCGCCGCAGCCTCATGGTCTTTCATGCCACTGAATCATGTGATTCCAATCCTCAGGTGCGCTATGAACATGATGTTGAGACTGGACCTTAACGTGGTGCGACGGTTTGCGTACCTCATTGACCCATTGAGCTATACTGGGTGATGCCTCCGAGCATCTTGAGAGCTACTCCTACCAGGTTGGTCAATGGTGAGAGGTCAGACAAACTCAGTCTCCTGGTCCTCCAGGTTGGGGGTTTGAAATGGGATGGCGTCCATTTCTGTAAAAACTAAATCATTGCCACCTCCCCGCTGCCTTGCGGACAGGCTTTTGAGCCAAAGGCTTTGGATGAGGACCCTAATCGTTCTCCTGTCTAGGTCTGGGCGCCCTGGCAGTATCCCAGCCCACATACAACCATGACATTTTCTTCAAACATAAATTTCATCCTGCATCGGCCGTCGCGCAGATTATCAAGGGTCGCCTTATCTGCTGCATACAGCAGGGCGGATAAGCGAAAACATGCTACTGCTGGCGCCTCCCTTCTTTCTTTTCCACCTTTTTCTCTTACTCCCATCCCGACCCCCATTACTAACCTTCCTTCTATAATTCCCAGCTTAATTGACAGCAACCGACGTGCTACTGGAGTAGAACCATCTGCAGCCACCATACCACAGCACCTATCGGACGCCTATCGGCAAAAGTTCCTTATAAGGCCACGCTGTCCCATTACCATGGCGACATTCAACGTCCGCACTCTAAGACAAACAGGTCAGCAGGCTGCACTCGCACGCACCTTAGACACACTGGGTGTTGATGTGTGTTGTGTGTCCGAAACTAGGATCAATGACCCTAACGGGGTTATTGAATTGACTGCACCCGGCTTATCCTCTCGTTATTGGTTGCACGCATCCGGAGACGCCGATGCGGCACTCACGGGTCAAGCTGGTGTAGGTATCATTCTCAGCTCCAAGGCTGAGTCATCGTTGGTTGATTGGATTCCGGTGAACAGCCGTTTATGTGCAGCCCGTTTGACTACATCAGCTAAGGTGAATTCGCGAAGTAAAACAAAACGCTGTTTGTTTGTGCTTTCTGCTTATGCTCCCACGGACTGCAGTTCTAATGCAGTCAAGGACACTTTCTATCACGAACTGAACACGCTGCTACGCAGTGCTACTAGTTCAGATATTGTAGTACTTGCAGGGGATATGAACGCACAAGTAGGGCGTCTGAGCTCTTCAGAAGCTCAGCTGGGTGGTAAGTATGGACTTAACGCCGAACGGACTGACAACGGCGAGCGTCTGCTGCAACTGTGTGCGGAGCACCAGTTGTTTCTTACTAGCACTGCTTTTAGACACAGTGGGCGCCGAAGTGCCACTTGGCGTCCACCTGTAGCTGGTCAGCGATGGACCCAAATTGACCACATAGCCATAAGTTACAGGTGGCGCGGTTCCATTCTGGATTGCCGCTCATACTGGAGTACCTGTGTCGACTCTGACCATGCCTTGGTGCGCTGTCGTTTCTCCATGAACTTTACCGGAAGGCGCACAAAGCGTCTCCCCGATTGGCAACGGAGAAATTGTCCCAGCCCTCTGTCAGGCAAGCCTATCAAGAAGCACTGCATAGCGAACTCTCGCTGTCTTGTCCTAATGACACTGAACTTCAGTGGAATAGGATCTCGGCCGCTATGCACGACGCAGGAGCATCTGCTTGTGGCACTATCAGTCGTCATCGCACCAGTCACTGGATATCCGAGAGGTCCGTGAACCTTTTGGAAGCTAGAAGGCACCTCCCGGCTGGTTCTGAACACAATGTGACCAGACGGGCTATTAGGCGTGAACTAAAGCGGAGCCTACGTGCTGACAAGGAAGCCTGGTGGACCAGTCGGGCTCAAGAAATGGAGGAGGCAGGAGCAGTAGGCAATTACCGGAAGCTCTTCCAGCTAATCCGCACCACTGGTCCGAAAAACCAGGCGTCAGTGAGACAATCAGGGACAGCGCGGGTGCGCTGATACACAATAATGAGCGCCGTATGGCTCGTTGGGCTGAGCACTTTGAACATCAGTTCAGCTGGCCCCCTGCTCCCGGACCTCTTCCTACTCAGGTGATGCAGGACGAGCCATGGACGGTTAGTTTAGAGCCTCCGTCGGAGGCCGAGGTCCGAAACGCGATCACAGCCCTCAATCGTTTTCGTGCCGCTGGCCCGGATTCCCTACCACCTGCACTATTTAAGGATGGAGGTGAGGTCCTCTGCAAAGCACTGACCTCCCTATTCGAATGTATCTGGAACGAAGAGAGTGTGCCGGCTAATTGGAGCGAATCGATTATAGTGGCAATATACAAAAAGGGCAGTCGCACAGACTGTGCGAACCACAGGGGTATTAGCCTAACGCCAGTTGTGACAAAATTACTGGCCTCGATTATCGTTCGTCGTCTCACTGCGGAACGGGAATCTCGGATTAGAGAAGAGCAGGCCGGTTTCCGCCCAGGACGTGGCTGTATAGACCATATATTTACTTTGCGGCAGGTGCTAGAGCAGCGCCACGCATACCGCAGACCGACAATAGCTGTGTTCCTCGATTTCAAGAGTGCGTTCGATTCAGTCGATCGATCGATTCTGTTCGAAATACTTGCGCGGAAAGGTGTTCCCACGAAATATGTGAACATCCTTCGTGCTCTATACTCGAACACTAGAGGCCGCGTCAGGGTCTATGGTGCCCTATCGGATAGCTTTTCGACTACAAGTGGCGTTCGACAGGGTTGTCCGATTTCCCCGTTATTGTTCAATTTCGTCGTGGATTCTATCATGGAGTGTTCCCTTGAGGAATCTCACGATGTAGGTGTTGAAGTGCTGCCTGGTGAACGGTTAGTTGATCTAGATTATGCGGACGATATCGTCTTGCTTTTCGACAATGTTGAGGCGGCACAATCAACCCTGAATAGCCTGTCCAGAGTGGTCCCATTATTTGGTATGCACTTCGCACCTTCAAAGTGCAAAGTGTTGCTGCAGGACCACCAGCCACTCGATGACCCCCTTGACGCTTGCTAACGAGGAACTCGAGGTGGTTGATCAATTCACTTATCTTGGCAGCTGCATCAGCAATGATGGGCGCATAGAAACTGACGTGAGCTCACGCATTGCAAAGGCCAGAGCTGCCTTCTTGAACCTGCGTCATCTTTGGCGACAGAAGGGAGTTTCCCTCCGTCTGAAAGGCCGTGTATACAAGGCCACAGTGAGGGCCGTTCTGCTTTATGGGAGTGAGACTTGGGCCCCTTCGGTATGAAGATCTGAGGCGCCTTCAAGTCTTTGATCATCGTTGTTTGCGAGCATTGCTGGTGTCGGATGGCACCAGCGTGTCCGCAACGATGATGTGCGTAGGCGAGTACTAGGTGGTGATGATCATGCTAGCTCTCTAGAACAACAGATAGCACTGAATAAGTTGCGTTGGCTCGGGCACGTGCTACGCATGCCTGGTCACCGCTTACCTAGGAGGGCCTTGTTCAGTCTACCAGGTGTCGGATGGCGCAAGGCTCGAGGTGGACAGAAGTTGACTTGGCAGCGGGAAATGAAGTCACTGACGACCAAACTGGGTGCC